TTCCCAAATTATTAAATCTTGACCCAAAATTTTTTTTTTTCAAAAAATATTTTTTTTTTCAAAAACGTTTTGTTTGCCGCCGGATTCCGGCGCAGAATTTTTTAAAGGTCTTTTTTTTGTTGGTTTTTGGTATTCGTTCTTCCGGATTTTTTCGCCGGTTTCCAGCGTTGACCGGCGGTCTTACACCGGTCTCCGGCGTCGTTGACTTTTTTTTTTTTTTTTTTTTTTTTTTTTGCTTTTTTCTTTTTTTTTTTCTTTTCTTTTCTTCCGGATTTTTTCGCCGGTTTCCGGCGGTCTCTTTTTTTAGTGTTTTTTTAAGTTTTTTGTTTTGTTTTGTTTGGTTTGTTTTGTTTTTCCACGTCCGCCGCTAAACGTTGACCGTAATTGTGCTGTCACTGACAGTAAATTAACGTAATTATACTGTCAATGATAGTTAATTAACGTAATTGTACTGCCGTTGACATTACATTTATGTAATTGTGTTGCCGTTGACAGTAAATTAATGCAATATTATATTTTTTTATTTATTATTATTTTTTTTTTATTTTTTTTTGATTTGTTGACAAGTCAACGTAATTATATTACTGTCGTTGACAGTAAAATAACTGTAAACACAATAATATTACTGTCAACAACATCAATATTATTATTTTTTTGTGGTGTTTGTATTAATATTACTGTCTATTATTGTAATATTACTGTAAACACAATAATATTACTGTGGTTGACGGTAATATTACTGTTTGTTATAGTAATATTCCTGTCAACCACATCAATATTATTCTTTTGTTTGGATATTTTGTTTGTTTGAGTTATTCACGGAGTAACGTAATAATATTACTGTCTACTATTGTAATATTACTGTTGCTATAGTAATATTACTGTTGCTATAGTAATATTACTGTCACTCACAGTAATATTAATTCTTTTGGTTTTTTTTATTTTGTTTACATTTGTTGAACGGACAACATAGTAATATTATTTTATTATACAATAATAATGAATTTTATTGTGTTAATATTAATGTGCTAGAGATTAATATAGCAATATCACTGTGTTAAACTATAGTTTAGTTATTTTTACTGTGTTTAACAGTAATATAGTTAATATTACTGTCATTCAAAGCAATATTGTTGTTTAAACGGAAAAAAAAGTTACAGAAAAAAAAATTAAAAAAAAAATAAAATAAAATAAATAAAAAAAAGTCAACGCCGGAGACCGGTGTTTACCGCCGGTCAACGCCGGAATCCGGAAAAAAAATCCGGAAGAAAAAAAAATTAAAATTAAAAGTCAACGCCGGAATCCGGAAAAAAAAAATCCGGAAGAAAAAACAAAAAAGAAAAAAAAAAAAATTAAAAGTCAACGCCGGAGTCCGGAAAAAAAAAATCCGGAAGAAAAAAAAAAAAAAAAAAAAAAAAAAAAAAGTCAACGCCGGAGACCGGCGTTGACCGCCGGTCAACGCCGGAATCCGGCGGAAAAAAAAAAAGTTTTTGAAAAAAAAAATTTTGTGAAAAAAAAAAAGTTTTGGGTCAAAATTGAATAATTTGTGAAAGTTGGGGTCAAATTGAAGTTAAAGTAAGTTAAGGATGAAATTGGAGCATATAAAAGTAAGAGGGGTTATTTTAGTCCTTTACATAAATCTGGACCATGTGTGGACTTATTGGTAAAGGAGAATATTGTCTGGATCTCTTTATGAATAAGTTCCCACTGATGGGCTTATTTGTAATATGCCCAAAAAAAAATATGCATTTCAATTGTGTTCCAAATAAGTGGAATTTTTTGAAATTAAAATATATTTCCGTTTTTTATTTTTATTTTTATTTTTTGAATTGAAATCAAAGGAAATCGAAAATTTGTTATTTTATTCACATGTAATATAAAATATAAAATAATATTTATATTGTAGTTGTAATTTTTGGAAAACAAATTGGCGAATTTTCGAAATTTCTTGTCATAAATTCAAATTAATGGGAACATCGGAATTTCATGTTTCCGATAAAAAAAATGGAAATTATAATGTTTGGAATAATTCAAAATGAAGAATATTGTTCTGAGAGACAATTTTCGGATCCGAACAAGGCATAATTCGTAAATTCCGTTCCAATAATTTCAAGAACTTAATGATTCATGAAAAGTTCGATTAATTTGTTGATCTTTATTTTATTGCAACAAATTAAATAAAATGATAAAAATAAAAAAAAAAATAAAAAAAATAAAAAAAAAATAAAAAAAACATAAATTCGAAATAGAAAAAAAAAATTACCATGGTAAAATGGAAGATGACCGGCTACTTGGTGATAGCGTAGATAGCATATATGATTCCAGGGAGATAACCGAATAGTGTCAGTACCAAACATATCCAGAACTCAACCTGTACATTTTAAACATTTCCAATTTAATTATTAAATCCTTTTTTTTTCTTTTTTTCCAAATTAATAATTTAATGTTTTTTTTTTTTTTTGTATAAATACAATTTCCGCCGTATATTAATCATGTGGTGACTAATAAAGAAAAAAAACAATTTTATCCTTGAAATATTGTATAAATAAAAACATTGAATAAGTGTGAAGCTACATACATGCATACATTATGGATAAATCACATAAAATACAAGAAATTAATAAATAGAATTTTTGTATTCTAATTTCTAATATATACCAACATATAAAAATTAAAAAAAAAAACATAAAAGAAACAAGTGGAAGGGAAAATCAAGAACATACCTCACAGCCAAACTTGAGGAAAACACCAAGAGGAGGCAAAAGAATTGCCACAATAATATCAACAAAAGTTGCACTACCCATTTTTCACAAATAAATTAGAATTTAAATTAAATTTAATTAATTAATTAAATAAAATAGGGCTCTTAAAAATATCAACAACAGAGAAGATTATGAAACTGCAGAAGTGAATGGGAAGAAGAGGAATGGGGGTTGCCCACTATATAGGGGTATGGAGTTTAAACGAAGTAGTGTGGGGTGACACGTTCTGATTGCTGATTGGTTGCCTTTGCTTTATAACTAAAAAAGTAATAAAATACATTTTGATGGATCAAGATAGATAAATGGATAAATATAGGGTAAATTACAAACACCCCTGAGGTATGGTCAAATTACACAAAACATTCATCTTGTTTAGATAATTACAACCACCCCCTCAACTCCTCAAATTTATTGGAATCTTCGAGATTATATGGAATATTATCACTTTTGTACCCGTTTTATCCCATTCAAACTCTACATTATGAAGCACGATGATCATAATATGTGATTTTTAGCTTGTATATATCAGTTTGTGGTACATCGGAAACTGTATTTTTACACAAAACGAGTACAAACTAGAGCACATTTCACGGAATCAAGATGATTATGTTGAATTTGGCCCATAATAGTGGAGGTGTAAGAAAAAATCATAGTTGAGGGGGGTAGATGTAATTATCCAAACAAGAGGGGGTTTTTTGTAATTTGATCATACCTCAGGGGGGTGTTTGTAATTTACCCATACATATAATTAAAGGTTGTGTTTGATAGAATCAAAATATCGAACGTTGAATGCTAAACAAAATTTATCTGATTTGAGTACCGAATAATTAAGTATGTTGAATATCTAAAATCAATAATGTCAATAATATATATATATATATATATATATATATATATATATATATATATATATATATATATTTTTTTTTTTTTTTCTTTTTGTAACAATCCTATAAATGTTTGAACTAATAAGTTGTTAATTGAATTGCTAGTAATAAATATGTATTAATTAAAAAGTATTCACTTATTTACTAATATATAAATAGTTGATAGAAATTAAATTACCAAATACATTATATTTATAGAAATATAAATAAAATTTATTTATTTTTCGATAAGGGAACTCGCAGCAACAGTGCACTTAGGTGGTGTTTGCAAATGCTTTTCCAAAGTGATTATAAGTTTTTTAATGTTCATCAAAAAAACTAATTTTGAACCAAAAAAGGCTCATAATCGCTGAAAAAGCGTTTGCAAACAACATCTTAGTAAATCTCCACTCTATCGTGTAATAATAATTTATTTATTTTTGAAAATGATAGGAAATGTATAAGCCAAAATTAACAAACTCCACTAATTAAAATATTATTCTTCCGCGTGGTCGACCATAGTTTTGAACGTAAGGGACATTTTTATTGCTTCACAGCCCATAAGCTTTTGTAAGTTAGCCAAAAAAAAATATCTTCTTTTTCTTTTTTTTCTTTTTTTAATTGTTTTCTTTTCTTTGTTTAATGAATAGCGAAAAAGAAGAAAATATCTTGTATTTGAAGTTTAAAAAGGGATTCGAATTAGATGTCAAGATCGATCGTGAACAGCTCAGACACACCTCATAATGGAGCCACGTGGTGTGTGCTAGCTTTGCCAT